GTTGCTCTGCTGTATTTTGATCCATTCCCGGCGAAGCGCTTGCTTGAGGTGATCGACACTTTGGTATTTTTTAGTGCCAACCTTGCTTTCCAAAATACTCCACACGCAATAGTCCAACGGATTGTTATCCGGAGATTTTGGTGGTCATTGTGCGCTGAAAATGAAACGAGGAACCTTATTTTGTAACCATTCTTGGGTGGCGCGTGCTGAGTGCGATGGTGCTGAATCCTGTTGGAATGTACAAGGTCTGCGGCCAAAATGTTTGCATGCCCAAGGCTTTAATACACCTTTCAGAATATTTTCGGGGAGAGCGACTATCGGCTATTATGGCAGCCCACACCATCACTATGGCCGGCGCTTGAGTTCTGGTGGCCAACCGAAGGGCCACATTTTCAGCTGGCCTCTTTGGCAAGAAAACATGATCATTTAATCTGTTTACAAACTGCTGGACAACGAATGTTTTCTCACCGGAGAAACCCAAATTCGGCAGTTCACCACTTTCGGCCAAGCGAAGAAACTCTTTAGCTCTTTTGAGTCTATTTTCTTTCTGTTGCGGTGTAAGTTCTTGCACTTTTTGGAATTTCAATGGATATGTTCAGCTCACGAGCCATTTTTCGGCCACTGCGACGCGGGTTTCGATCAAGTCGCTTCTTTACTTTTCGAACCATTTCTGCTGATGTTGCTGTTTTCTTCCGTCCACTCTCTTGACGTCGGGCTACGCTACCAGTATCACGGTAATGAGCGATGGTACGAGACACAAAAGATTTATTCACATTTAAATGCTGGAGTGCTCTATCGATAGCCACTTGTTGTTTTCAGCCAAATTTAAAGAAATCACACTATCACGCTTAAATTCCATCACGAATATTTTTTTTTCTGGAAAATGCTATTATGCGCTTATAAAAAATATAATGAGCTGTCACTGGAATAATTTTAACAGTTGCCGAACGAGTGGCTTAGAAATGACAGCAGTCCATGTATTCTTGTGAACAAAATGCAGGTCGCATTTATTATCCGATTGAGATAAAATTTTCCAAATAACATTTGTTTGGCCCAAGGACGAACCCTAATGAAATTGGAGATAATCGGTAAAAAGTTAGATATAGCTCCCATATATATCTTTGTCCGATTTGCCTTTTATTGTGCACCAAACGTGTAATATTAGTATGAATTTTGCACATACAACCAAATTAGGCCTGAATATAAGTATGCCAAATTTGATCGAAATCGGTTCAGATATAGCTATAGCTCCCATAAAACAATAGTTCATCCGATTTGTTATTTTTGTCCTCCGCAGCCGTAATATGCACTTTAACAACAATATTTGGGGAAATATATCAAATGCAGCTCACAAATACCTTTGCGAAATTTTATCGATATCGGTTCAGATTTGGATATAGCTCCCATATATATTTGATTTCAAATTAATTTGCACCAAATGGGCAATACAAGTCCGAATTTAAAAGATTCACATGATTCGGCATATTTAGTCCTTTGAACTTTAAATTATACTTATAATCATAGCGTGCATGATTGAATTCTCCCATAAAAACTTTTAATTGAGATGTGGAGCTCTACTAAATTAGCAAAGTGGTGTAGGGTATCATAAAATCGGTCGCAAGCTTCCAATTTGTAGTTATACACACTAAACGCTGCTCTTTAAAGTCTTACAGTTTGCATCACAAACTAATTACTTCTTCGTTTACCTTCGTCAAGTTTCGAACGCACAACCTTTGTAGCGCCGTTACCTATTACGTGGTAATGAGTGAAATAAGCCATTGCGATTTGTTATTTTTTGGGGAATAACCAATTATTTTAAACCTTCTGACATCGAAACATGTGGTTTGTTTACATCACCTTGCAATGTTATTCAATCCATTTGGCTCCACATTTTTGCTGGGAATTATCAAAAACCATCAATTAAGGGATACCAAGCAACGGCTCTGACTAGCTTTAACATGGCAAAGCCCAGGTCCCATCTTGGTCCTCTTTCATCTCAATTGTGGACACTGACCTCCCCGCGGTGTCACCTGGGGTAACTATGTTCAACAGCCGTTGAAATAGTGAGCTAATATGTGCCGCGAGTTCAGCCATAAGAACCATAAAAAAATGGGTTGAGGCGTCGGGTTAGTTGCCCACACTCGGAAAACACCCTCTACTATGAAAAAGCAAAGAAAAAGAAAACCAAACCCCCCAAATGTTGACGACCCCCGCAAAAGTATAAAGGACCACGATTTGCGAATCTGAACTTGGAATGTGCGCACGTTGAACAGAACAGGCGCAGTATTAGCTTTGGCGGATGTACTCAAGAAGTACAAAGCCGATATTATTGCGTTACAGGAAATGCGATGGAAAGGGACAGGCGTAAGTAAATCCAATGATTACGCACTATATTATAGCTGCCATGAAACGAGACATGAATTTGGCTCTGGATTTATGGTCAACAGGAGAATAAAAGACCTCGTCTCCAGATTCACTCCTGTAGATGAGCGAATTGCTATAATTCGTATAAAAGCCAAGTTCTTCTACATCAGTCTCATTTGCGCTCATGCTCCGACCGAAGACAAAGATGAGCAGACCAAAGACATATTCTACGAGCGCCTAGAAACAGCATATGACCGCTGCCCTGGCCATGACATTAAAATTCTGCTAGGAGATTTTAATGCAAAAGTAGGAAGGGAGAATATCTTTGGGCCCACCGTCGGAAGATTCAGCCTCCATGAAGAAACATCCGACAACGGTATGAGGCTGATTGACTTCGCGGCAGCAAAAAACATGGTAATTAGCAGCACCAGATTCAAGCACCTCGATATACACAAGGCCACTTGGCTTTCTGCTGATCAAACAACGAGAAATCAAATTGATCATGTTGTGATAGACGGAAGGCATTCATCCAGTGTTTTAGACGTTCGATCGATCCGAGGAGCGAATATCGATTCGGACCACTATCTTGTAGCAGCCAAGGTTCGCACCCGTCTTAATGCAGCAGCAAAGGTGCAATCTAACACAACACGGAAACTCGACGTCGAAAAGCTGCAAACACAACAGATAGCAGAAGCCTACTCCGCTCAACTTACCCACCTTCTTGACGAAAGCACTCCTTGTCCTGATAATATAGAAGCACAATGGCAAAGAATTGCCAACTCCCTACAAACTGCAGCAAAAGCAACACTTGGGTACCAAAGACCACCAGCAAGAAACCCATGGTACGATCAGGAGTGTCGTAATGCTACTGAGATGAAAAACACAGCGTATAGGGCAACCCTGCAGACAGTAGCAACACGTAATGCAAGAGAGAATTATCGGGAGAAAAGGAGAGAGGAGAAACGTATTTTCAGAAAAAAGAAGAAAGAACAAGAAAAACGTGAGCGCGAGCAAATCGAGATGTACAGGAGTCAGAATGAAGTCCGGAAATTTTACCAAAGAGTAAAACACCAAACCGAAGGCTTTGGTGCAGGCACATCCTCCTGTAGAGATGAAGAAGGAAATCTGGTGACAGATACAGATAGCGTGTTGAGGATCTGGAAGGAGCATTTTGCAAAGCTTCTGGTATCAAATAATGGCGGTGAAGAAGATACCCCAGAACCAATAAGAGATGACGGTATAGAGTGTATACCACCTAGCCAAGATGAGGTCAGAATAGCAATCAATCGGCTGAAGAATAACACAGTAGCAGGTGCCGATGGTTTGCCAGCCGAACTATTCAAGACCGGTGGTCAAAAGCTGATTAGGAGCATGCATCAGCTGATTAGAGCAATTTGGCCAGAGGAATGTATGCCCAACGATTGGATCCTCAGCATCCTGTGTCCCGTTCACAAAAGAGGAGACAAGACGATATGCGGCAACTATAGAGGAATCAGTCTCCTTCCCATCGCGTATAAAGTGCTTTCCAGCGTGTTGTGTGAACGACTGAAGCCAATGGTCAATGACATTATTGGACCATACCAATGCGGCTTCAGACCTGGCAAATCCACCATAGACCAGATTTTCACTCTGCGGCAAATCCTGGAAAAGACCCAAGAAAAACATATCGACACATTCCACCTCTTCGTCGACTATAAAGCCGCATTTGACAGCCCTATTCGCTCAGAGGTGTTTAAAGCCATGTCTGCGTTCGGCATTCCTGCAAAATTAATAAGGCTATGCAGGATAACTTTAACTGGCACAAGGTCAGCAGTTAGAGTCGGAAAGGACCTCTCGGAGCCCTTCAATACCGAACGAGGGTTCAGACAAGGTGACAGCCTCTCGTGTGACCTATTTAACATCCTGCTGGAAAAGGTCATACGAGATGCAAAGGTGAACAGAAATGGCACTCTGTACACCAAACAACACATGTTGCTCGCCTACGCCGATGACATCGACATAATGGGTCGAACATTGATAGCGGTAAACTCCACCTTTGAACGAATTGAGAAAGAGTCTGCCAAAGTGGGTCTGGCAGTAAATGGCGAGAAGACCAAGCTGATGGTATCAACGCGCAAGACGTCCAGTAGACTCGGACCAACTGTGGAACTTGAAAACTACATCTTTGAGGTAGTTAGTGACTTTGTCTACCTCGGTACCGCCATAAACAAATCAAATGGCATCAGTTTTGCGATTCGGAGAAGGATAGTGTTGGCCAATAGATGCTACTATGGTCTATGTAAGCAGTTCAGAAACAAGGCCACATCTCGCCAGACCAAACTCACACTCTACAAGACACTGATACTACCCGTGCAGTTGTATGGATCTGAAGCATGGGTACTTGCGCAAGCAGATGAGGCAGCGCTTGGAGTGTTTGAGAGAAAAATTCTCCGAAAGATCTACGGGCCGATCTGCATCGACGGTGAATATCGACGTCGAATGAACCACGAGCTATACCATCTATACTCGGACATCGACATAGTCAGACGTATCGAGCTGCAGCGACTACGGTGGCTAGGTCATGTAGTGCGAATGGATGAGGATGCCCCAGCTCATAAGGTATATAAGAGCGAGCCTACTGATGGTTCACGCAGATGGGGAAGGCCAAGAATTAGATGGAAAGACCAAGTAGAAGACAACATATCGGAACATGGTCTTTCAAATTGGAAAAACTGCGCACAAGACCGACGCGCCTGGAAATCTTTTCTAAACTCGGCTTATGGAACAAATGTTCTGCTCGAGCCAGCTAAGAAGAAGAAGAATTAAGGGCAAGTAAACTTGTTATGGTTTCTCAAAGTGGTTTGTATATTCTTCTCCATATTTCGGATGTTTTGATTTATGAATTTGGTCATTTCATTTGTTCAACTTAAAATTAATTAAATGTTTGAAGAATGCAACAATACCCCAAGTCTGTAATGTGTTATTTAAACCGCCTCACTGAAATATATAATTATAGGCCCCTCAAGTTAATTAATACGAGGTCTGCAATATTTAAAGATCATAACAAATGATCAGCGCAACTTATTTTCCCAAACATAATACAATTACAAGACAAATGTAAACAAAGATTAAACTTATGCCCGGCTTTTTCTATGAGAAAAATACCAGCAAAATGAAAAACAACTTCTCAACAGCCATAAGAGCCGAAGGCTGGTTCGTTTACAACATGTTGCAACAAACTCTCAGTAAAACTTGAACACATCCACAGCCAAAGAATGAAAACGAAACGGAAATTGTAAGACAATGCCACACACACTCACACAACCAGACACATCCAACCCAAAACAACATTGGCTAAGCTGAAGTGAGCGCTTTTGGGCTTTTGGAGCAGTTGTAGATTGATACGATCAGTTTGAGAGTAAACGTAAACGCGAGCGGTTGTAACACCTGTTTAGCGGTTAGATGAGAGAACGTGTGTGGCAAAAACAAACGATAAAATAATAATAACAAAAAAAAAAAAAATAATAATAATAAAAAATAGCGGCGCATGCGCAAATGAATGTTTACGTTTTATGAGGTGTTCTTCATAAAAAAATTGTAATAAAAAATTAAAAAAACCTACGAAATTTTATGATCTTAAAAAAAGAAAATACTCCATAATGGTGAATGAACCCATTATATAAAATTATCAAAAAATACTTATCCTTCAAATTTTTTTCTTAAAAATTTATGTATGAATCCATCAATCAAAAGTGAATAAATGTGAAATCTTGACAAGCTGTGAATCCAGTGCTACTATATTATTCTCCAGCTTAACCTGAATATAATAACAAGAAGAGCAAAAGAAATCATGAAAAGAAAACATATAAATACAAAATAATGGATTAACCAGCTCAACGGCAGCCAAGGAGATACCAACTACATGATCGACAAGGGATCAGCAATCGTTATTCTTTATCAGCCGAAAAAAAATATAAAAACGGATTAAATTGTTTTCCTCTTCGTCTTTTTCGTTTTTGAGGAGTGTTTTTATGCCTGACATCACATTTTCGGGTATTGCTCGTCATCGCCAGAAACAGTCTGTCTGTCCCAGCGTATGGTGTAACAACGATAAAGTTTGAAGGTGCGTTATTTGCCCCTTTTATAGGGCTGCCAAAAGTAAGCAGAAAAAACAAAACTATCTGAAATGTATGTGCATACAGTGGGTCTGGTGTCCATGGCAATTGTCCATAACAATTGACATCAAGAAATGTTCAATAACAATCTATTGCAATTAAAGGTCCATGTTTATTTTTGATGTGTGTTTTTTTTTTTTTATCTGAAAGAAATAGTTATATGAAAAAAAATTCTATCTACATCAAATATATGGAGAATTACCTTGTTTTAAGGTACACCAAAGATATGGAATTGACAATTGAAGTTTTAACTTTTTTCGGAATATATATGGGATATTTAATCTAGAATCGGAGTCAAATGGAAAAGTAAATTTATATTACCCTAAAAACTGATCGGTCTTAGGTGGCGATATTATTGCCTAAGTAGTTACTTGCCCACCAAAAGTAGAAAAATAAATACTTTGCGACAATAAATTCTTAAAATAAGCAAATCGAATACTTTTGTTTGGCAGACTGCCTATTTACATGTCGTACCATGACGGACACCGAAATCCCTCTCATTTGAACTTTTAGCATAACTTCACTACTGAAGATTATCGATTTGAGGACAAGTTGACAAGTTAACATGCTAGGGCGGGCAGTGCACCTCAAAAATGGCTACATTGTGTATTATCCATAAACATTTGGCTAAAAAAAGTTTATATATTGCCCGTAAGGACTAAAAGATAAGCTGTGAACCCTTAAATACTTATAATGAAGTGATATGTTCATACGCAATCCCATATTAAACATTGGACTAAATATAAAGAATTACCTTTGCACATAAATTTGACATTGTTCTCAGTTTTTGTTCGGAGGGTATGCCTAAAGCGGCTTAAAAGAAAATTCCATAGCTTTTTAGGGCCAAAATGTTGATTTCATGATGTTCCAACAGAAAGGAGAAATAATTTTTGATAGAAATGTTGTTGCGTATGCTAATGGACTTGTTCTGAAATTAAATGAGAAATTTCCGGAGTCCAAACGAAACTAATGCAGGGAGGTTCTTGTCACCCTTATAGAATAGAGCCGATTTTTTACAAAAAGAATAAATTACCTCATTTCCAGTTATCAACGCTAGTTTCTTCCAATTCATTTCAATTGATACTCATGGTCTGTGATGGAGAATGCCATTAGTGCAATATTCATCTGGGACAGACTAGATCTCCTTGATGCTTTTTGAGTGTTTTTAAAAGAACATATCAGGCAGCTCAGAAAGCAGCTCAGAATCTAGAACTATGTCTGAAGGTAGAAATGTTCTTCAAGACCATAATTTTTTTAATCTGCATACCCTGCATACTCCTTGTTTTTGCAAAACAGTATTATTTTAAATATTTCTAAATATTCAAAGAAGGGCTCAAGAAATCGTGGGAAACTTACAAAATGTCAAATCAAAAACAAGTCCATTCAAAAAAGTTGTGAAAACCCTTAAAATATTTGAACCAGTGGGGACGTTGCATGATGCGATATCAAACATAGGACCGATTTCGATCAGTATCATATTAAAACAATGTAGAAATACAAAATTTCGTTGGGAAGTGGAATAAAAATCTTACGGGTACCTCAAAGGTCGGATCATAAAGATAGATCATCAGACCAAAATATATTATTTCATAATAAGTTCGTAGGAATTATTCTGTCATCTGGCATAGGTTATAAGAATAACTAAAACGTAATAAATTTTAATTTTTCCAGCAATACCGACCTATTTGGGGAATTCTAAAAATGCCATATACCTCACAGTTTGGATGATTATACGCTTAATAAAAATTAGCCTGATGCATATCGAGAGATAATATGACCTGGAAAACGCGTAGGCTTTGGAAAGCTCTTAAAATGGAATGTAAACCCTATGCAGAAGAATAAAAATTCTAAATTTTCCTATATATCCTATATATGAGAAAAAAGTAATATAAGACACCTTTTTCAAAATACCATGCCATTTTTTATACAAGAAACACGCTTTGCAGAGAAAGCCATTTTAGTAACAAGTTTGGAAATTGAAATTAGTCTGTAATCGGATTTATTAAATAGTTGTACTCAAATGGAATCTTAAATGTTCTGAATTTGAATAATAGAGAAAGTCGCGCGGAGTTTAAGTATCTTGCAGATCTTAATTGCAATAGATTGATTAAAGTATTTTTTAATTTTTAATATTTAAAATGGAATGTATTGGCCTATAATAACATCGCAAAACGCTTTGACCCACTGTATGGTTATTTATTTTATATTATGAAGAGATGTCTCCGTTGTCACATTGTCACCATTGAATGTTGCCCCTAAAGTCGGGCAACCATGTTACTACTTACTATGACACAAAAAATACAACAAAAATTACGATTTAATTTTTATTAATTATTTGAGTTTATTTTAGAAAAAAAAGATTTTTAAGAAAAAAAGATTGTTAATATCTAAATAGAGTGTATTCAGTTTTTGGTCAAACTTGAATCATTTCATCTTATGAACATACCAGTATTAACCAACTAATACAAATAAAAAGTGAACAATAAAATTATTTAATTAATTAATTTATTTATTTTTGTTGGAAAATTTGAAGTGAATGTGGAATTTTTTAAGCAAATGGTTTTAGACATATCCTTCCCATATTTCACATATTATCAAACTATTTCCCTTAAAAGGGTATAATCGATTCGACTTGAATGCACTGAACACCTACCGCCATTCTTTGCAAGCCTTTGCCAACATACTTACTTTTCGCTTTGCTGCAGCAAATTCTTTAATTTGGTATTCTGTGGGTTAAGCTCATGCGATTTTGATAGGCATCAAAATGCAAGTAATATCGTTATTTAACGCTTTATATTCACCTTGGCTAGCAGGGACAGCATGGACGGAATCCATTGTTTTCTAAGTATTCTCTGCCCGTTTGTTTGGTTGCATTTCTGCAACAAAAAGAAAACAGAAGACAAACAAAAGCTTTGGATGGCTTAGGCGTAAACAGATAGACTTGGTGGTGATGGAACCAAACACAAGAATAACAAAAATAAAAAGGAAAATAATCATCGGGCAAGTTGACAAAACATACTAAGCATATTTACATAGATTTATTGTATAAATTATATGTCCCATACCATAAATGGGTGTGTTGTGGTGCTCTGCTACTCTGCTATGTTTATAATGTTATATTGCGAGTATGTGTGTTTGGTTTATTACTTTGTCAACTGTTTCCCAACAATCAACAAAAAAAAGGAAAGAAAAAAGAGGGATTTTCCATGGAGTAAAGGTACGTTTTGAATTACGGTGACAGCGGTGAACGTGTCGGCATAATTGTAATTTCATCGCTCAACTCCCTATGTTTTTTGTTTCGCCCATCAGCGACAATGCAATCAAATTGATGAAACAAACACTTCAATGTGATAAAAGTGATGTGTGGAAGTGATGCAGCAGCCATGCTTGACTCACATATCTGAATTGTTATTTTACGTGTTTGTGTCTTAAGTCTTTTGTTTTATTAACACCTAAGCATTTTTGTAATACGAAACTCAGCCTGCTGCTGTGTATGTTTCCATGTTTACCTCTCCACTAACCATAAATATAAACAATTTTTTTGTTATTGTTATTGTAGTTGCAAATTTCAGATACCTATTGTGTGATGCTGCTCACAACGCACACACACACACACATACTCACGTACATATGTGCTTTCTATTGTTTCCTTTAAAGTCGTTTTTAATGAAATTTACATAATAATTAAATTGTTGCCATATAACAATAATCAAAACCAGTTTTCATAGTTGGACTATTCGTTGTCAACACATATTGAACACAGCCTGCTCTGTCATCAGACCGATGATGTATAGGAAAGTCAAAGAACTACGTGGAGAAGAATTTTAATTTGCGATACCATTTGCTGTTCGCTGTTTTTTTTTTTTTTTTTGCTGGTTGTTGTAGTTGTTGACCACCACAATCACTGATAATAACCAACCATTAGAAACTGGATTTGTAAAAATAGTATTCGATTTTGCAGTGAACTGTAAATTTCACTGAAGACAGGAACAATTTAATCAATATGTAGGTATTTTATAAACAAATCAATCTACAGTTTTTTATACATTTTTTTTGTGCGTTTGCTGCAACTTGTTTGACGCTTTTGTGTGAGGTTGCTGTATTTGCGCTTTATGTGTTTCGCAACACCTGTGTGTGTGTGTTTTTGATAACAATCAATAGCTGTAAAGTCTTAATTGCAGCGGAGTTCTTGAATAGCACATGAAATTGTGTTAAAGTTAAACTATAAACTCTTTAGTTTTGTCTTATAACACTATGTTATCACATTGTCCTAACAATTGTCCTAATTGTGACAAGAATTTGAGAAATTTCTAACTGTTCAAAGCCCATACTATGTTGGAAAAATTGTGATAAGATTGTTTGGGCACGAAATATTGTTACAAACCGGTTAAATGTTCACATAAAAAGCCTAGTTACCTTTCAAAAAGTTTTAATTCGGCTCTGTGGTAAGAAAAGTCTTCCACAAATTAGATCATTATAAAACTGGGGAAGTTCTCAATCACTGATAAATATATTTTACCTGAATCAAATTTGTAAAGTAATAAATAAATAATTTTTAAAGAACATAGTAATTTTTGAAAGAAGCCCCATTTTCGTTATAGTAACGAAGTTAGGGTTGCGGAAATCGGTGTCAGAATCCGACAATTCTACTAGAGTCCGAGTCTGGACTCTAAATCCAAGTATTAATATTTTTCTTCCCTTAGGCATATGGCTACCGAGGGTATATATCATTTGATACGGGCTGATCGTGCCTCTTCGATATAACGGTTTTAGATCCTAAGCTTTTTTTTGACAAAAATGCGTTTCAGGACATTTGGAGTCGGTCTTGGTGTGTCCACTCGTCCGTCTGTCTGGCTGTCTGGTGGGCACGATAGCTCTCGAAGGGAGGATCCAATTTCATCCAAACCTGCATAAAACAAAAAAGAATCACACAAGTCTGTGAAAACTTTGCAAATTCCAATATTTGTATCACAGCTATTCCAT